AATCCCTCTGGCAGCTGAGTTTTGGGAGATTTTTTGGGGTTTGAAGCTTGTTACCTCTAAGAATATCTACCATATTTGGATTGAAAGTGACTCAGATGAGATAATATCCCTTATTGTGTACATCCAACGTTGTACTTATTCTTTGTTTTCTATTATTTGTGCTATTAGAGAGCTATTGAGAGGGATTAAGTTCATTAAATTTAATTATGTCTTGAAAAAAGTCAAGTAGTGTGTTGATTGATTGGTTGAAATATGACTTCAACTTGGGCTTCCTTTTGTCTATTTTGACGAGGCTTCGCAGTCTTTAAGTCTTTTTGTCACTTTGAATTCCTTAGGAACATGAGTTTCTAAATCTCAAGTTTAGTTTTGGTTGTATTTTTGAGCTTTTAAGTCTTGTTTAGAAAATAAAAATAAAAATAAAAAAGTTATATATTATTTATTTTTAAACATAAAGAGACCATTTATTTTATATTTTTCTATTGATAATAAATAATTTTAACAATATATAATAGATTTTTTACATTTTAAAAATTTAAACCTCTTGTATATTAGAAAATTTTCATTTATGTTAAAATTTATTTACATTTAACTTCATTTTTTTTCCTTCAAAATTTTATCTTTTTTTTATGTTTAATCTCAATCACTTATATTTTGGAATTATTTCATATATTTAATAATTTTTATTTAAATTACTTATATTGTTAGACTTAAATTAATTATACATCTTTCTTATAATTTCAAAAAAAAATTTAAGTAAAATATTTCTATTATAAGAGACTAATATTATGAATAATTTGTATAATTAAATTTTTTCTTTTAAAATACATTTAAACAAAAAAAGTACGAGTGTGAAGCGAGCCGATAAGTGACTTGCTGAAAGAACAAAGATGACTTTTTTACCGTAATATTACAAAACAAAAATTTAAATACTAGAACGGACCCTTCAGCAATTTATTTATTAGATTAGACTCATTTTTTGTCTATCCAGAGAACCGAATTCTAAGATAGTTTTAGTTTTTTTTTATATTAAAATATAAATATTATTATTTTAATTATATTTATATATTTATATAGTTTTATTTTGTTAAAATAAATATTTATAATATGTTATTTTAATAAATATTTATAAATATTTTTATATTATTTTAAAATAAATAACATATTATATTAATTTTAAATTTTTATTAAAATTTATTTGACATATTTAAGATAATAAATAATATTTTTAGAAAATAATAATAATTAAATTTTGAAAAATTAATTAAAATAATTAAATAATAAATAAATTATTTTAGTTAATGTTTAAAAACTATTTAAAATATTTAAATAATAAATATATTATTTTAGATAATAATGTTAATGCTTAAATTATTTATAGTTAAAAAATACTAAATATATTTTTCAAAATTAAAAAAAATATATTAAATATTATTCTGTTTATTTATTTATTTAAATATGTAATTTTGACTTAATATTTATAAATATTAGTATGATAAAATGATATTTTGAATAAAAATTTTATTTTAATTAAATTATTTTTTAAAAGTGTCATTATTTAATATTATAATTTTATAATTTTGAATAAATTTTATTGGAGAATAAAAAATTATTTTTAAAAAGTAAATAAAATATTAAATTATAAATAAATTATTTATAGTTGAGACAAATATTTTGAAATTAACGTTTTTATATTATTATTAAGGTAACATTGATAAAAATAAAGTGCATTAATAAAGATGATAACAAATTCATAACAATATTAGTAATTAACTATCTCCGTAATGGTGGCCAGTTCCACAACGGAGGCGACGTCTTTGACGTGGTGGGTTTCGTCATTGTGGTTGTTGCTTTGGGATTTCAGGATGAACTTGTGAAGGATTTGGATCATCATGAAGGTCTAGTTGTTGGAATGCATTTGATGAATTACCAGGTTCATTATCAAAATCTGGTTGATAAAGAGACTGCATGTAAGTTTGTGCTGAAGATAGAGTTGTAAAATCAACTCCAAATAAATTTGTAAAAAAATCATCTGATGTTGTTGCAAATGAATATCTTTTGTTAATTATGTTTGCTTCTGGTGTAATGTTCAGAGGAATTGATGCAGTCTCGTGGTATGACAGTGTGGAAGTCGTACCCATTTCAAATGTGTTGGTAGTCCTTAGTTGTTGGTCGCTCCTCCTTGGATCTTGTAGTAGTGGTGGCACAGATAGGAAATACATAGAATTGACAATGTACCATTCTATGTATTCTTGTGTGTGACACAATGGACCTTGCATTGGATGACCCATTATTGTCAGCTCACGTCTGTTGTTCCATATCTTGATCCATTGAGCATGTTTTGTAACCCAATTTTCATCATATCTTCCTCTCATATCAATTTTGTGGAGGTCATTCAAATTATTAGGTGGAGAAGGGACTTCTTGGATTAGACAAAACTGTAATTTGATTCTATCTGTTTGGTGCCATTCAACAATTGCAAAACAAAGGATGGCAGTACATGAAGTCCACAGTTAGACATCTCTATATGCTTCCATGGGTATTGATGTCTGCAAGTCTTGATATGATGCCCATAAAAACTACAAATATATTTAACTTTGTTACTTAAGATGATGTGTAAAAAATAAGAAAATACATATAAAGAGTTACTTGATTAGCTTGAATGTGATCAAACATTGATCTGTACCCCACAACATCATTGTGAGGTTTATTTCAAAAGTTTAGTACTCTACCCCTGCTTCATCTGCACACGATGGGGTATGTTGGTGGATTACTAGAAATTGGCGCAATATATGGCATGCGATACCATGCCCAGGACATTAATAGTGATGAACAACCACCCATTGTTTTGCTACCAACTTCCGTGGCTCTGCACATTTCCCTATATAACATAGCTAAACAAGCAGAACCCCAACTATACCGTCTTGTTCTTCTAAGATTAGTTAATAAAGCTAAATACATAAGATGTACTTTGTTGCCTGTTTTGTCAGGCATCAAAACACCTCCAATTAAACCTAGAATATAAGCCCTACAATGGGCGTGAACTTCTTCTTCAGATGGTTGTTCTGGTAATGGCAACATATTGTCTCTCAGCCACTTTAGTTTTAGCATAGAGCCAATAAGTGACTCTCCCTTGACTGACACGATACCGAGATATGTGTCACACATTTCCTCCCAGTCAAACATTATTGGACCAATGACTGGTAAACCATCAACTCTTAGCCTGAGTTGAAGTGTAACATCCTCCAGGGTTATGGTGCACTCCCCTGTTGGAAAATGGAATGTGTGAGTTTCAGGTATCCACTTCTCGACCAAAGCTGTTATCAATGCGTGATCCACCTTAGGATGCCTTAGCTTTGCTACTCTAACAAAACCAAGTTGTTCAAGTATAGGAACAATTAGAGGATTGAGTTCTGGCATTGAATGACAGAAAGATGAAATCATGTTCTCAGTTTCCCTGCAGTTATTAATAAATTAGTAACATTATATGTAGAATAATAGATTTACATATTCAGTTAATAATGCTAATGTGTAAAACTTACCGTTCTTCCAATGAAGGCAGACCTGTGTTCGTTTTGCTTCCAGAACAACATTTTTAGCAATGGGAGCAAAGACAGAGAGAAACGAAGAACAAAGATGAATGCAAGTTTGAATGAAAACATGTGGCCTTGGATGAACATATTCATAGATAAACGGAGAAGTCACTCTCTCTTGGCATGCGTGATTGAGAAGTTACTATCTCTTGGCATGCGTGACTGACTGAGATGTCACTATCTCTTGGCATGCGTGAATGGAGAGGTGACCATCAATCGTAAAACGTGGTGAAGCATTGAATGATTGAGAATCCAACGTTACCATTATAAATATCCATTTTCGTGGTCATTTTATTCATTCAACCTTCTAAGCTTGTTCCTTGTTCTTGTGAATCTTCTCCTTCTAAAAATATCTTCAATCTATGTCATTGTTCACTTTGATGGTGCCATTAACCAATGTCCTAATGAAGGAGTCACATTCACCTCACCATTAGCGAAATTAGTACATCTAAAGAGAGGAGTGACTCTACAAAGGGTCAAGAAAGTCATCCACACAAAACTTAACCGAGACGCAAATGAAAGGGTGACAACCATACATTTTCGCTACCCAATTAAACTTGGCCTAGGAGTTAGCAACTACACATGTGTTGAGTTGAACGATGATGAAGACGTCGAGGCACTCTTCAACATCCATGATTCAAATCAATTTCAATCATGTATAGAATTATAAGTTACATTTGCTACAAACGTAACCCAGCCACCACAACTTTCACCTTCACCTTCACCTTACCAAACTTACGAAACCATACATCCATCATTTTCAACATATGATATAAATTCTGACCTTCAGTCCTACACACAACTGTTAACTGGTCCATTGATGGACCTCAATGAAATACCCTATGAACCATTCAGCAAACCCTACCCTCTCAGCCTCTTGAAGAAACCCTCATTGAAGAACATGTTGTTGTGAGTCTCCCAATCGAAGTATTTGACCCTTTTAGCGAGGACGAAGATGAAATCCTATCTCAACAGCAGGATGATGAAGAAGACTCCCTCCCACTTCCAAATATTCTACCATCACAACCATTACCTTTATACAATCCACCTCCACATTTTTTAAACATTCACACTCAAATACAAGAACATGACCATGAGTTTGGCCATGTCCTTGATCGTGAAATGGTAGTGTATCCGCTTGGAACACTATTTGTTGGCCAACGCTTCCTAACAAAAGAACAAGTGCAAGACGCCATAAATAGATTCCACATTGTCAATCATTACACTTATAAGGTGAAAATGTCAAGCACAACTAGGCTTGTTGTAGAATGCATTCACAACAACTGTGCCTGGAGATGTCGCTTTATATTGTGCACCAAAGAGCAACATTGGGAAATAATGAAACTTGAAAGGTGTCACACATGTGCTTCCCTACTCATTTCACAAGATCACAACAAGTTAGGATCACGAATGATTTCTCAAACCATTCATGAACTTATTGAGACTGATCCATTCACACACATCTCAACCATCTTAGCCCATATAAAGTTCACAATGGGTTATATAATCAGCTATAGAAAGGGATGGTTAGGGAAACAATATGCCATTGAGAATATCTTTGAAAATTGGGAGGAGTCATACCATAAGTTACGTAGACAGTTGCTTGCAATGCAACTGTATGTTCTGGGCTTCATATGGAAATTGAGTACACAACCAGCATACAACGGTGGCTTGCTTGACGAGGGGAATGTCTTCTTCAAGAGGTTATTTTGGACCTTCAAGGAATGCATTGATGGTTTTTCCTTCTGCAAACCAATTGTTCAAGTGGATGGTACATTTTTTACTGGCAAATACGAAGGGACTTTATTAGTGGCAGTTGCACAAGACGGCCGCAACAACATAATTCTCATTGTTTTTGCTGTGGTTGAAGGTAAAACTAGCAATACATGGTTCTTTTTTTAAAAAAACTTAAGGAGATACGTAACCCCGCAAGAGAGGTTGTGCCTCATTTCGGATCGTCACGAAGCCATAAGAAGTGCATACTCCAGAAATGGAAGTGGTTAGACAGAAAATAATTCTGTCCATGTCTATTGCATTAGACACATTGCACAAAACTTCATGCGACAATTCAAAAATGCTGCACTGAAGAAAGATATCGTCAATATGAATAATTTTAATTTTTTACATACTTTATATTATCATTAATGTTTTATACAATTATTTAGCTAGTTATATTAATTTAATTTGTAATCTTGTTTCCAGCATATGGGATGACTGAACCGAGATTCTTTTACTATTACAACATAGTAAAAGATAATAATCCTGAAGCTGAACAATGGTTGGACAACATCTCAAGGGGAAAATGGACACTGGCATAGGACAACGGACGACACTAGAGACATATGACAACAAACCTAGCGGAGTCAATCAATTCGGTCTTGAAGAAAACCAGAAACTTACCAATTTGCTCAATGGTCATGGCAACATACACCCGTTGCAATAAGTTCTTCATTGACAGAAGCAAGAAAGTAGATACAATGATTAATGCTGGACATATGTACTCAGAGGTTGCAACTAAAGTAATTTAAGATGCACAGTCAAAGACAAACACTCATAGAGTCATCACCTTTGACAGAACAAGCACTAGATTTTTAGTCGAAGAAACGCAATATCCGACAGAAATTCGACCCGTAGGAAGATTTATAGTACGGTTAGATGAAATGTAGTGTGACTGTGGCAAGTTTCAAAAAGTTCACATCACATGCTCGCATGTACTTTCTTCATGCTTACACGCACACTGCAACTTTAATATCTACATATCTCTTGTGTATACCTTACAACAAGTTTCTAAGGTATACGAAGGTCAATTTGGTGAACTTAGACACGAAGACTATTGGTCATCTTACACGGGTCCAACTTTGTATCCAAATCCAGAACTGAAAAGAACTTCAAAGGGTCGACCCAAGTCCAGTAGGATAAGAACAGAGATGGACATTAGAAAACAACAAAATCGAGCAAAAAATTGTTCTTATTGTCATACCCCTGTCACACAAGGAAGACATGTCCAAATATCGCTCAAGCTTCTAGTTCTCGTCATTAATTTTTATTATTGTTATTATTTTAAATTTTTTTAATGTTATTTTTAATTTTATGAATGTCATTGTAACTTTTAAATTTTTAGTATTTGTAATTTATATTAAGTATATAATTATATATATATAGTATATCTACATAATATTATTTTATTATATTTATTCATTTTAATAACATATTTTTTAAAATAAATAATTATGTATAAATTTTAATAAATATTAATATTTCAAAATAAATAAATAAACTGGTTATTATTTAATACTTTATTTATTTTATAAATATATAATATTAAATAAATTTTTATTATAATTTTTTAATACAAATTTAAATATAAATAAATTGTTGTTGTCATTTTTATTTTTTTAAATATAATATTAATAACCAAAAATATAATTTTAGAATATAATTTTAATCTTATTTTCAAAAAATATTCATTAAATAATATAATAAAAAATAAAAATATTATTTATTATCTTAAATATGTTAAATAAATTTTAATAAACATTTAAAATTAATATAATATGTTATTTATTTTAAAATAATATAAAAATTAAAATATAATTTAAATCATAAAACTTATTTTATTAAAATAATATATAAATATTTATTAAAATAACTTATTATAAATATTTATTTTAACAAAATATTACTAGATAAATATATAAATATAATTAAAATAATAATATTTATATTTTAATATATATGTAAAAAAAATTAAAAACTATCTCAGAATTCAATTTCGAACTGAATTTTGGATTGACAAAAAATGGGTCTAATCTCATAAATATACTGCTGGAGGGTCATTCTAGTATTTAAATTTTTGTTTTGAAATATTACGGTAAAAAAGTCGACAAAGATCGCAATTTATAAACGCAATGCTTTTGCTCTGCCTCCATCGATCTCGTGAAGAAGCGAAGAAGAGAGAGAGAGAGAGTGATGGAGTGTGTATTCGGATTCGTAGGCAATGGGTTTGCAATGGTGGTGGCGGACACGTCGGCGGTGTACAGCATACTCGTGCACAGGATACTGGAGACAGGTACCTCACTCTCCCCTTCCCTTTTCATCCTCTACATTTTCAATCCCTAAGTCCGTTTCATCGTAGGGTTCAATTTGCCGAATACATTCAGAAGAACGTCGCATTGTATCAGTTCCGTAACGGAATCCCTCTCACCGCTGCCGCCGCTGCTAATTTCACCCGTGGCGAGCTCGCCACTGCCCTCCGCAAGGCCCCTTTTCCAAACCCTAACTCCCCTTTCTGATTCCTTAAAAAAAGGAAAGAAAACTGTAAACTAGGTTAATTGGTGGTGATATTTAAATAATTCCTGGTTAATTGCTTTAATTTATTTATCTTCCGTTGCTACATCTTATAATATTTATGTATTTTTTGTGATTTGTTTTATTTTGAGTGCTGGAATCTGTATTATCCATGAAAGAAAAATAAAATATGTATATTCCTACCATGGATGAATTGAAACCCCATGGAGGTTGCAATTTGAAAATGGTTTTAGTTCATTATCTATGTTGCTTTTTGATTTTTGATAATAAGCTTATTTATGTGTGAATTTGGTTTTCTTTAGAATCCCTACTTTGTGAACATTCTTCTTGCTGGTTATGACAAAGAGACGGGCCCTACACTATACTATATTGATTACATTGCAACACTTCACAATCTTGAAAAGGGGGCCTTTGGTTATGGCTCCTATTTTTCACTGGCAATGATGGACAGACACTACCATAGTGGAATGTCAGTGGAAGAAGCAATTGATCTTGTTGATAAGTGCATGCATCATGGAAATCAGATCAAGGCTGGTTGTGGCACCACCTAACTTTGTTATTAAAATTGTTGACAAAGAGGCTGCAAGAGAGTATGCATGGCGTGAATCTGTCAAGGATGCTCCTATTCCTTTAGCTTGAGTCAGCTCTGTTCCTTGTTAATGCATTAGATTGTATTAAATAATGAGAAATAGACTACCATTGAACAAAGCTTGACCAATAATTTATGGCAAATCTTGATCACTGATTTGTTATTTTTATAAATAATTTTAAATTATTTTACTAACGTAAATAGGAGTACATAACCTATAGTAATTCTTCCTTCCAAGTTCTTTTTCCTTTTGAACTTTTTTACCGAGCTCCATGTTCCTATACTCCGTGATCTACCCCTTAGACAGCAACAAAGGCAAAGCAATGATTGTTTAAATTGCAATTTCATTCAAATCATCCGAGTAGTTTATTCTTACTATTTATATAACTATTAATGAAAGTTAATATTGTTTTAGTGTCTGACCACTATATATGAATAGATAGATAGCGTTTATATAATACAAGTAAAAATTATAAATGATATATTTAAAAGATTTATTATCATCTCGATGTTAATACTTTTCTCTTTCTGTATTGTTTTAGCAAATATTTATGAGATTTTATATCTCTTAGCGTGTAAGTTTTAAGAGTTTTATTATGTTAATCTAACAAATTTGATGGTTAAGTTGTACGATTATTTTGCTAAAATTTACTTTCAAGAAAGTGATTATTCAACGGCATAATCATTAAATTCTATTTTCTTATTCTAACAAGCAAAATAAGCATATAATATATACTTTGGTTCTTTCATCTCTTCTTTACATATATAATATAAATTATGAGGAATTAACTTAAATGAATGATTTATTTTTGTGCATTATATGAATATTTTTAATTTATTTTATTTAAAAAATAATGATATATTGTATGATTATTTTTAAATTTAATAAAGTTAATAAATTTTAAAAAGCCTAAATATTGTAATTATCAATTATAGTAAAAAAAATTAGTTTTTTTAATCTCCTAATTTTAGAATAGTTTTCAATTTAGTCATATGACTTTTTTTTAATTTATTTTTGTCTTCAAAGTTTTTTTATCATGTTGATCCTTTCCGTTAGCTATGTTATACATCTTAATTAAGACATCTATGTGAATATAAAGTGACACATTATTTACTAGTTTAAATTAAACTTTTTTATTTGAAAAATAATTAAAAATTAAAGTTATAATAATGTCTTCTCTTTCATTACAAGTTAGGTTTTCATACTACATTATCTTTTACATAGCAAAACAAAGGGTGGAACTCTTACTTCCATGGACTCGCAGGCTTCAACAATGATGTCTTGGTAGAGGTGTTGGGCATCTATTTTATTATTGTGGTGTAAAAATTGTTTATTGTTTGGCAGCAACAACATATACATGAATGCATTTTTTAGATGTAGAAACTATAGAGTAATTTTATAAGGATAAATAACTAAATTTTATTTTTCTATATAAATGTTTTTTATTTTTGTGTTACTATTCTATAGTATCATTTTTTTTGTTTGGTGAGAGTTGATTAAGTTGAAGATAATGAAATTGTACTACTAAAGTAAAAGAAAATAATTTTACATCGTTAAAACTCACTCAAAATTAGCAAGAAAAATATTAATATTTTAAGTATTAGTGTGGTGGTTCATGCATTAGTTATGGTGCTATTGTGGTTCATGTTGTATTGCAAAAAAATATTATCTTTTGAGTTGTATGAGGGGTTTTAGGGAAGTAATTTTTGTAATTGCACTTTGAAATAGTGCTTTGATTAAGAGATAATGTTCTATGTTAAATATGGATATGTCAAAATATGTTCTATCTTTAATGGAAAATTTTTCTTAGCATATGTTTTATATGTTCAATATGGATGTGAGAATAAGAAAGTACAATGATAATTGAAAATGAACATTGATTAAAATATACTAGTGAGATACATAATGAATTTAAATTAACAAACTAAAGGGACAAAATAGAAACCTCAAAAAATTCATTGTCCAACCAAAATCACAAAATATAGGTCTCACAAAAGTATACATAAACCCCACAAAATATAAGTCCCAATATGTTAAGTCCCAATATGCATGAGTGTTCATTGACTGTTTTCCTTAGTTGTTAAGTGTCTTTTCTTACAAAATGTCATTATCTTGTATTCACCTTTGCACACCACTCTCACTCTCACATTATCATTCTTTTAGATCTTTAAGTCCCTACCATAGTGCATAACATATGTTTTGATAGTCTCTTTAAAGTCTTCTCTATATGCAAATAATGTGCTTAACAGCCATTTATAATCATACATTTTTTTATGACATTTTAAATAAATTAAATTTATTTCTATCTTTTTTCTCATTAGATCTTGCATCAGCCTCCAATCCTCTACTAATATACTTTTTATCAAGATAAAAGACATCTTTACTTGCAAGAACATTAGTAAACTTCACCCAATCTCAAATTGAAATTCAACTCCAAATTCTTTATCACAACTGAAATATATCCCTATTCCACTTCAATATTTTCCTCACTTAGTTCTCCTTCAACACCATCCCATCAACTTGCACCCAATGAATATTCATGTGATGCTCTAGTAATGGAACTTTATGACATATTTCAACTTGTGAAATTGCATATACTACATACAATATTTTTTCATAACACTTAGACACTTTGATCGTCTCTACAACTCCTTTATCTTCTTTTAGTTTTTTCAATATAATATTATCAAGATTTTTTTCACCTATTTTGAACCACATAATATCAACTATATCATATTCTAATTCACGTATCTCATCTAGATATTCAAAATAATTCGAGAAATTTTTTTCGCAGTCCCATATATATGTCTTACCCCAACATATTTAATCTTTGGTGACTTTTTAAACTTGCTTCCATGGTGAACTTCTACATAGAATTAATCAATTCCTATGACTCAAAACTTCGAAAAGATAGAATTTTTCAAATATTCAACAATGTAAATAAGTCTAAGCCCACAAAACTCACTCATAGGACTATGCGCAACACATATAGTGAATTAAATTTAAATATAAAAATATATCTTATAATCTTGATGTTCACTTTCACTTCAATTTTTCAGTCTTTTGCCACAAACTTTTTCCTATTGTACTAAAATTTTTGTTTTATTAACAAATTTTCACTTTTAATTTTTTTAATTTTTCTTCTTTAAGTATGTCTAAAATAATTGGTATAAGGTGTAAAAATGATTTTCAAATTAAAAGGTCTAGATGAGATTGATTAATAAAATATATGTCACTTTGGATTCATATAAAATTTTTCTGTTAAATTATGTAATAAAGCTAACAAAAAAATTAACTTAAAAAAATTAAAATTTAAAGATAAACATGAACAAAAATAAATTAAAAAATTAAATCAAAACTTGCTTTAAAATTAAGAGATGAAAAAAATTAATTTTATCTTTTTGTTATAACTTTTTTTTTCATCTTTTTTTCTAATCATTCATATATAATATATATTTTTTTTTTCAATTCACGTAACAATCGTAATTTTTTTTTTTTTAATTTACTTATGCTCTATTTTTACGCTCTTGTTTCTTTGTTCCCAAATTTACCCCGAAACTAAGAATAAATGTACGCGCACGTTCGAAGTTGTTTAGCCCCGATTTTCCATGATACGATTGAGTAACGAGTCAGAACACAACAAGCCACTGTGGGCTTTGGCTAACTTTTCGATTCTTCGCTGGCGAGGTAAGGAGTAAGAAGTACAAAGCATGGAGGAGTCTTCACTCTTTTCAAAACCCTCTCCCTTTTTCACAATGCAATTCATAGATCGAACCACTGTTCCCCGATAATGGAATTTACTTCTCTCCCTTTCTTGTTTCAGATTATTGCGCTCTTCGCTTTACTCGTTCGATCATTCTTAACATCAGCTTCAATTGAAAGCGGTTTCCATTGTTTCTTCTCTCACCAACCCTTCCTATTATCCTTCCCTACACGGTCGTCTCTTTACCTAGTTCTTCTTTTTCTTTTCGTTTAAGCTTTACTTTTTATTCATAAATAAATGTTTTTTTTTTGTTTTTTAACTCATTCGTATGGTTCGATATTAGAGCAGCATGAACGAAACGTTGAAGAACAAAATGTGAAATTGCCCGTTCCAGCATAAGTTTTAGTAAGTTAATATATCAAGTGGGATAATCGTGTAATTTCGGTTCTACCGAAACAAAATTATGCAATTTAGGAATGAATTTATATCCTCTCTTTCATGTTCATAACAGGAGAGAGTAAAAGTGCAAATGCGTAAATCTTATGGTAGAGGTAGGTTAGTCAAAGGAGAGAATTCAGATGCATTTAGGAATACTAACGAGTCCATGATTTTATTTCACTCAAGACGTAACAAAACCTTGTGGATTTTGTAGCTTCTCTTTCTCAAGACTTATCTATGTTTAATTTTGGGTGATATTTTGTGTAGAGCTAAAACTTGGAGGTAGTATACAGCAGTTTCCAATGAGTACTGTCGGATATAGGTCGGACGAGGAATGCTCTGTCATAGGGGGGAAAGCAGAAATTGGATTTCTAGATTTTGAGGAAGAGAAATCTGTTTGCAGTTACGTTGTCAATGACGAGGATCCAGTCATTGTATCGGTCCCATTTGCGTTTGTGGATGGCAAGCCTCAATCTGTATTTGTTGGAGATACTGCTGTGGATTTAATAACCATCAAGAATACTACCAAAGAACCTGTGGACCTGTGGAGTGTTCATATTTTTGCTTCAAATCCTCTGGACTCTTTCACTCTTTCTCTCACTGAACCTCCATCAGCAAATTTAAATGAAGATAGCGATCAGAGTTTTTTAGAATCTTTCTCTTTGGAGGACAGGATGCTTCAGCCTGGTGAGATCTTAAAAATATGGTTATCGTGCAAGACAAAAGAAATGGGCATGTACACATCAGTTGTGTATTTTGATGTTGGAGATGAGAAAATTGAGAGGGTGGTTTTTCTCTTAGTTGAAGACAAAATCTCTAAGTCTTTGGCTTCTAATAGGCCTTATTCAAAAGGAAGGAGAAAAGACAAGTTTGTTGTAGATACTTATGTTCCAGGTTCACGTCCTGCTGGGAAGGCAAACAGAAAATACATAAATAGGCTTCCAAGATATGACATTCCCAGGGACATTAGACATTTGCTTGAGAGCGATCAGATTCCTCAAGCTGTTGAAGAAGGTCTTACAAGAAAGAGTTATGCTTCTTATTTCAAAACATTAATAATAATGGAAGAGATACAATTGGAGGTAATTTTATTTGTTTATAATTTATAGTAGCTCCAGTCATCAGAAACCTCAAGTCAAGACTGATCTTTGTCTCTATTATTTCCTTTCGTCTGACTTCTACTTTCAGGAAGACATGAGGACTTATGACATGGAATGCATAGCTATGAGAAAGAGGGCCAATTGTTTCTTGACCTTGGAGGTTCCTGGGCTTGCTGAGAGAAGACCATCGCTGGTTCATGGGGATTTTATATTTGCCAAGCTGGCATCTGAACGTGATGACAAGACCGCCCCTGTTTATCAGGTTTGAACCTCATGTCATGTGGCTTCATGTCACATTTTTCACTTTGTACTCCATAGTTGGACTAATTGAGAATCTTTAGCTAGAAGTTATTGCACCAAAATCTGGTCGTTAGGACTAGTCCTCAGATGCATACTGCAATTATTCACGTGTTTCTATATTTTGTATTGTAGTGATATAAATGAGTCTGTCTGATCTAGAAGATCATTGGAGTACATGTCATTGTCATAGTGTTATCTTGACCACTGACAATAGAATTCCATTTCATTGGTGTTGATGTATTTGTGGATGACATTAGATGTGTATGAGTCTTCCCTATTTCCCAGTTAGACTCATGCATTTCATCAGACGTGATCCAGGGGAAGCTATGGTAGATTGAGCTCCTTTGTAGTGCTCTTTCCACTTTGAGTGCTGGTTCTAAACATTAAATAAAATTAAACCTAGAGCATATCCATCAAAGACAGCGTTGTGTAGTGGCTGGCCCAGAAAACACTCTGGTATAGTGCATAGCTGGATGACTACTATTGTCGTTATTTTTAAAGAAATTATATAATTTATACTATATTCATACAAATGCTATACTCATAATTAACAACAAATATAGTCAAATAACCTCTGGAATTTGGCCAGCAACAGAAAAGAAGGCTGCAGACGTTAGAAGACTGTTGAAGAGAAAGTCTTCCACAACAGCAGGTTGGCATTCTTCTGATTTCAAAGGGTGGATGTTTCTAAACAAAAGGTGGGAAACCAGTAAAAGCCCTAGCTCTCATAAAAGGGGGAAATTTCACTTTTACCCCTTCCCATCCCGAAAGTTGAAAACTCAAAATAACATTGGAAAAGGAGTAGAAACTGGCTTTTTTCACCATACACATCGCACTTCTATAACGCTCTGTCGGCCGTGAAGACCACAATAACAAAACGCCTATGACTTTTAACTAGCAACCAAGGGCCCCTCCTTTCCTTGCTACAGTTTTATTCTTGGGATTATGAAAAATAACATAATTACAATGACATTGTTTCCTTGTTGGGATTGTTTATTGTTTTTATGAATACCAGATTTTAGGGTTTTTTTTCGTATTTGGGTCATGTTGGGTCATATATGACCTGAATTCACAACCTGTGACATCAGCAAAAAACGTATCATTTTAATTGCAAATTTTGTACCAATGTGAAAGAGTCCGGCAATTTAGGTGATGATTTTGGCCACTCTAATTTGCTCTATGGTTTTGTGTTGCTAAGTGAGTTAGTCAAATTGATTTGCACAATCCTAATTGCAAATCAAACAATTTCTATAACCATGTGTATATGATCTGTAGAGTAGCCAAATTTATTATGTCTATGTTAAGTGGATTCTGTTATTCATTGATTTTGGCTATTTTTATTGTTCATAAGTATATTAATATATGCTTATCAAATTTTTTTTTCATTGGTCCAACAATATATTTATTCATTCAGTTAGGGTTCTGCCATTCATAAAAAAATTTATGTGAATTTCTCTGCACTCTGCAGGGATTCATCCACCGTGTTGAAGCTGATGAGGTCTATTTGAGGTTTGATCATGAATTTCACTTTTGCCATAGAGATGAAAATCTCTATGATATTCACTTCACGTATAACAGGATCAATATGAGAAGGTTATACCAAGCAGTTGAGGCAGCAGAAAACTTAGGAACCGAGTTCCTTTTTCCATCTTCGTCCTCCAGAAGGAGACACATTAAAACCACTGATGTGGTTCCCATTTCTGGTTCTTTTAACAATGAGCAAATGTGTTCAATCAAAATGATTCTTGGTTGCAAAGGCGCACCCCCTTATGTGATTCATGGGCCCCCAGGTACAGGAAAGACAAGAACAATTGTAGAAGCAATCCTCCAGCTCTACAAATATCATAAGAATACTCGTATTCTTGTCTGTGCTCCCTCAAATAGTGCAGCAGATCACGTGCTGGAGAAAGTCCTTGCTCAACAGGATGTTGAATTTCGAGAAAATGAAATATTCAGGCTCAATGCATCTACCAGGCCATATGAGGATGTCAAACCAGAACTTATCCGCTTCTGCTTCTTTGATGAGTTGATATTTAAGTGTCCCCCAGTCAGTGCCCTCATGCATTATAGGATCATAATATCCACATATATGAGTGCCTCTCTTCTTTATGCAGAGGATGTTGCTCGTGGTCACTTCTCTCACATTTTCTTGGATGAGGCTGGGCAAGCTTCCGAAGCTGAAACAATGATCCCTGTATCCCATCTCTGCAGAAGGGATACCGTTGTTGTTCTGGCTGGAGACCCATTGCAGTTGGGTCCAGTAATATATTCCAAGAAAGCAGATGAGTATGGGTTGGGGGTTTCATACATGGAACGGTTGTTTGAATTTGAGTTATATGCCAGTGGAGACCCAAATTATGTAATAAGATTGATTAGGAACTATCGATGTCACCCAGAGATTTTATATCTTCCTTCAAAGCTGTTCTATGACGGGGAATTGATGGCCTGTAGAGATAGTTCATCTTTCAAAGTGATTGCAGAGTTTCTTCCTAATAAGGAGTTCCCTGTTCTCTTCTTTGGCATCCAGGGATGTGATGAAAGAGAAGGGAATAACCCATCATGGTTCAACCGAATTGAAGCAAGCAAGGTAATAGAAGTTGTCAGGAGATTGATAGCCAATGGGGAAATAACGGAGGAAGACATTGGCATTATAACTCCATATAGACAACAAGTGCTGAAAATAAAACAGACACTTGAAAATCTAGATATGCCCGATGTCAAAGTTGGTAGTGTTGAGCAATTTCAAGGACAAGAGAAGGAGGTTATCATCATATCAACCGTTCGATCAACCATCAAACACAATGAGTTTGACAAAGTCCACTGTCTTGGCTTTTTGAGCAATTATCGAAGGTTTAATGTGGCTATTACCCGTGCTATATCATTGCTGGTTATAATTGGGAACCCTCATATTATCTGCAAGGTATTGCCTTTTATATAATAAGCCATGACTAGATGTTAAGATAGTTATCTACCTGATCATCTTTTTGCTGTGAATAGAACATTATCATATATCCTCTGATTTGACTGCATTGCATTAGCATTCCTTTTATGGTTGTATTGAGAAATGAAAATGTTTACAGATATTAGAATTACTACTTTCTACATTAACCAGTCAGCTTGTCTTTCTAGTTGAGATAATTATGGTTAGAAAGAAAATATTCAACGAAAAATTATGAGAAAGTAAAACAGGTTCAAACCTTTTTGTTGCCTGTATCTTTGTTCTGATAATCTTGGTAGTTTATGAAATCATTCTTCACCTGTAATTTGGTAGGACGATCAATGGAGCCAAATGCTGTGGCACTGTGTGGACAATTCATCTTATCAGGGTTGCTCTCTTCCGGAAAGACCAAAATTTTATGACGATGAGGACACAGGGGAGAACTCTAATGCATTACCCTCTAGCAATGGAGAATGGAGTCAAGATTCATCCCAGTTAGAGTTCCCTAAACCTGTTACCGATGAAGCTGAATGGTCTGATGGCTGGAGAAGTAATTAATCCAGCACTTCGAACTTGGACTCGTACAAATATGTGTTTATACTCTTTTTTTTTTTTTTTTTTTTTTTGTGATAGGTTTTTGCGGACTTAAAATTAGTCAGTTCTTAATTTCGATCTAAGGAGGGTGGGGAAAGTCCTACCCTTGTTAATTTTCTTAATGCCATGTTTATTATATGCGTATGATGGGGGCATTTTTTTTTTTTTTTTTGAAAAAGTTGATCTAAACACCCGATGTTGAATATGAAGAAATTGATTAATTACAAATAGTTGATCATGTCATTAATCATTGACCAGTTTTCTGGATTCTAAAATCTCAAATTCTTGTAAGAAACGAACAGTGATGTAGCTTTTACCATGCAACTCGGATTAAAAACAGGAATTCTCCAAGGGAAACGTCTAATTTTGTATGTACGAAACAAGTCTATTTTCTATTGAAATAAAGAATAAGTGTGGGGTATCAACAATATGAATGTTTCTTGAAACGTGTGTTTGAACTATCCCATGAATACTTAGACAACAGCCCCACCCCCAAAAAATAGAGTATCCGATGAATATGAATATGATACGTACAGATGAACTCAAGAACAGATTGCCATTGATTGAAAGGTCACGTGTTAAGGAGTGTAACAAGGACGGCTAATATTTGAGAGAATAGCGTAGTGTTGAGTGGCCGTTGAGAACGACAGAAAAAGGGTATTCCTGCTCCGCTGCTGGTGGGTACTGCTTTTCCCGAAGATCCTCTTTTACCGCGGGACCTTGATCGTGATCGCGACCCTGACCTTGACCTTGACCCTGACCCTGACCCTGATCCTGACCCTGACCCTGTGGCACATCACATGTATGTAAATGCAATGTATATATAAACATATCCTGATTGTGTGAAAATGGTCATTAATTTGTGATAAATGACTTACTAGCAGCAGCAGTCCCTAGATCTGAAGTTGGTGCGCTGCTGAGAGGAGGTAGAGCCATTGATTCTGCGAAAGAACAAGAACGCAATGCAATGCAATGGCGTTAAGGTAAGTAAGATTTTTGAATGAAAAGAAAAAAAAAATGCTATTCCTAAATGGTAGGTACCTGAGCAAAGAAAGGTTAAGGAGGTTGGGGTTTGGGAGGGGCAGAGGGAAGAGAGGGAGAGGATTCTGGTAGTGTTGAGAGGAAAGCCAAGGATGAGAGGGTCGCGGAGAAGATAGCACATGCAAAGCGATTCCACGGCGGCGGAGAAGGCGTTGCAGCACTTCTCCGACGCACTTTCTGTTAAGTTGTTCGGCGGATAAGACACGTACGACAGACACGACGAGAACGATATTAGCTCTTCCGTGCACCCCTTCACTGCCGCCGCCGCCGCCGACGACGACGACGACGACGCCGACGCACTTAGGAAGAAGCATGCTGCAATCATGGCGGTTTTGATCGCCATAGGATTAGGATTTGGCGGGACTGAAACTAACTAACGAACCTAACTGAAATTTCGTTATTGCACTCTGACGGTTACTAGTTTAAGCACGCGATTCCTCTCCCTCACCGGTGGAATCCTTAATGAATTTCGTATCTATTATATATATACTTCCAACTTTTTTTAAATATCCGTAATAAAAATTTAAATTATTAAGAAATATATTTTTTTAAAACTAAACCTCTAAATTTTTTTAATTCAGATTTTAGATTTTTTTTATTTTCACTTTTTCATAGCGTCTTATTCTTCCTATTCTATTACTCTAAGCTTCGTTATTTTTTCATCACTATCTATATTTTAAAAACATTATTACTTTTTAAATACATTAATTGTATTGAATTTACCATAAAAACATGATTTATCATTAAAAATTATATTCTTTATCAATCAGCCTTTGTTGATACAATGATATGTCAACCTTAATACTTTTTTAGAAGTAAATTTTTAAAACTATAATTCTACACATTAAAAATTAATTTTATTAGGCTTTCACACTGCCAAAAATTTATTTTAGAAACATTTTTAAAAAAATAAGTTTCTTGAATTAGAATTCTACAGTTTTAAAATTAAATTAATTTATAAATTTATGTTTTCACTTCTGGAAATTAAATCTTAGAATTACTAATTATTTCTACAAATTAGTTTCCAAAATTAAGAGCTTGTTTATTTTTTCTTCTAAAAACAGTTTTTTTTTCTTTTTAAAATTAAAAAATAAAATAAAATGTTCATTAACATAAATTTTATTTTTATTTTCTTTTTGAAAACATTTTTTTAAAATTAAAAACCAAAATAGAAAGGTCTACTCTTTTGAAATTAATAATTTTTACGTATGTTTCTGTACTTAAGTTTCCAAAAATATTTTTCTATACTAGCTTCAGGGATTTAATTCTCGAAAATAAATTCTAAACATGTTTTCAAACTTTAAATTCTGCACTAAAATTTAAAATAATAAAAAATAAGGTTTAAATATGTTTTAACTACTTCTAAATAAGACTTATTTCAAATTACTATCTATTAATTTAAAATATATATTATTATTATTATTATTTACTTAAAATTATATTATTTATATTATTTGTTATATGGTATTAGTATTATTATTATTATTATATTATATATTGAATTTATTATTTTATTTTTTATAAATTTTTAGTTTTGAATAAAATATAAATTATATTTAAGTAATTTTTATTTCTTATAAAATAATTGAATATTAATAATAATAAAATTAAAATGTGAAAAATATATTAATATAGTATTATTATTTCATTTTTAAATTTTAGTTTGTTTTTTTTCCGTTCAAAAATTTAACTGCTTAAATCAACTTATTTAAATGTAGCAAATATAATAAGTTATTACTAAATAAATTTATTGATTAAATATGTGTATAAATATTTTTACTTTCGAATATAATATAATTTCTGTTTATTATAAATAAAAAAATTATAACATAATATAATAATTAAATATTAAAAATAATAGAATTAATAATATGAAAAATATATTAATATAATATTATTATTTTATTTTAAAATTTTAGTTTGTTTACATTTTATTGCCTTTTGTTCATATTCACAGACTTAACTGCTTTTCAGCTTATTTAAATATAATAAATATAATAATTTATTATTAAATAAATTTATTATTTAAACAAGTGTATAGATATTTTTATTTTTGAATAAAATATAATTTTTATTTATTATAAATAAAAAAATTATAACATAATATACTAATATAATAATTAAGTATTAAGAATAATAGAATTAAGAATATAAAAAATATATTAGTATAATATTATTATTTTATTTTTAAATTTTAGTTTGTTTAATTTTGATTATGTCTTAATTTTGTTCAAAGACTTAACAAGTCTTTAATTTGTTTAAATATAACAAATATAATAATTAATTGTTAAATAAATTTATTATTTAAACATGTGTCTAAATATAATTAATTAGAATTTTTCATGTACAGTACTCTTGAAATTTTCGTACCATACTATATTTACACATAAATTGAATCTGTAATTATTAAAAGTCATTAAATAATATCAAAATATACGAGAATTGATTAAATTTATTAAAATAATTTTTAAATAGTATTTATAAAATATTATTTTATCATTTAATTATTGCTTAGTTAAAAATATTTATTACTAATTCTTAATTAAAATTATAAAATTTTATCTTATCATTAACAACGCCTTCAGCAAGTGCACTGAATAGTACAAATAATATGGTAAAAGTAAAGTATCGTTCCCATATAGATTGATACAAACACATATTGATTCATTAAATTGAATTAATTGAATGTGATTGGGATTGAGGAGAAATCTAAAATATAAATTAATTTAATTCACTTGGCAAGTAAATAAACAACGAAATCTGAAATAAGACGAGAAAAATTAATGACAAGATAGCTAGGATTAGACTTCACCCATTGTTCATATAATAAATTAAACTCCCTGCTAGTTCAAGCTCTGAAAATGATTACAAAAGTTCCTACTAAATTAATTTATATCCAATTACTTAGTATAAAAATTCTCTTGAACTCATACACAAAGATTAATTTCTTAATTTCAAATGTATGAGTCTAAGGTTTTAGAATACAAAGAAACCAAAAGATAACATACCCAATAATTTATATTCCTAGAAAATTAAATGATGAGGTAAGTAAATCAAGAAGTACAACCACTCATTCCATTTTCTAATGTTAAAAAGGTTTATCAAAACAAAGTATGAGTAGCTAGTTCATACTAAGTATTAAGAATGAATTTACAAGCTAACATAAAAAAAAGCTTAAACTAGAGTCAAGAATCTAATTACATCATAATCCTAAAGCGATCCATCAATCTTAACTACAAAATGTTTAGCAACCATCACAGAAATGAAAAACACAAGAAAAAAAAAGAGAGGTTCCCTTTGTCATATTCTTGAGAAGAAAATGGAAATCTTCTCCAATCTTTCTCTCTAAAGACCTAAGTGTGGTTCTGTTCTTCCTGATCTAAAAGAGTTGTCCCCTTGTCCTCCCTAAAAAAAAACCTACTTTTCTTTTACAATGTGCCTCACAATCTCTTTTATCTTACCCAATATGTATTTTTGTCGACGTCAGTAAGTTTGTATCTTGGTACACAAATGTTTGCGTTTTGGCACTGAAAGTTCTGCAATTTCATTATCTATTCGTGATAAGCGTCTTAGCACACACAAGCTTGTGTCTTGGCACATAATGACCTAAGAGCACATTGTCACACTTGGTTAGCGCCTTGACACACATAGGTCTGTGCCTTGGCACTAAATAACCTACAATCAAGATCCAAACTTTAGTAATTTTCACTCAAAATAGTAGTAAGGCAAGAAAAATTATAAAAACTAAATTTCTAATAAATTTGGATGAAAAAAAGAAAAATAAAAAGTTAAAGAAGAAGAAAAAAAATTAAAATTAACTAAAAACTATACATTACTAGACTCTTAACAACCATATTAAATTTAATTAAAAAATTAACCAAATGTAAAAGCTAAATTTAATTAATTTTATAATATTTTTAATATAATTATATTTTTTACTTTTAAAATTAATTTTTATATTTAAAATATAATTTTTAATTTATTTAAATAAAATAATTTAATAAATATTATAAATAAATAATATAATAGTTATTAATTACTTTTAAAAATAGGTGGACTAACTCACCATTTTCTTTATATTGAAACTTAGAGCCAAAACTAACCTACTAATTATAGGGCTTAAGTGGGATAGAATATAGGGCTTTATCCCATATTAAGAGCTTGATTTTTTAAAAATAATAACAATAATGTCGACCTACCAGGCTTTGTAAATAACTCATGTCTAACTTATTTACTTAAACAGATCTTAAAAAAAGCATAAGCTTTATTTGTTTATTAAAGAGGCAAGTCAAGTTAGGCCTAAAGTAGGTGAGACCATAGGCCACCTATTAGGCTGTCTGGTCTGTTTTCATCCTTATTAGTGGCCTTTGAAGTTATAAATATGATCTTGATGTGGAACAAAGTGGCCATGCGTGTGACATATAAATTGAAGTAGAAGAAAGGAGAGGGAGTTTTTAGGTAGAAAAAAAGTGAAAAATTTGTGGAAAAAAAAAATCTATGAGAGAAAAACTATGTAAATTTTAAAATAGAAAAGAAATTAGGTTAAAAATAATGAGGATTTGATTCAAAACAACATATATAAGAAAATACACAATTTAAATGTGTTTTATTTAATTTATGTTAATATTTTTTTTATTTTTTAATTATAGTTTAATTTTCATAACAAATAAATTAATGTTATCCATCTATAATAATTTTAATGAAGTAATATATAAAATAAAATATTTATCATGCCTTGTTTAGCATTAATTAAAATATATTACTAAATTAAGATGGTGAAAATATAAAATTTAACATGTTATTTAATACAATTAGAAATTTATTATTATTATTATTATTTATGAATTAATTAAGTTTATTTATAATATATTTAGGTTAACTTTTTAAATTTCTTAAATTTTTGTAATTATTTTTTTGACATTTAATTATAATTTCTCTTAAAATTTCATAACTTAAAAAACATAATGTAAATGTATTTATTTTGATATAATTAGTTAGTAATTTTAATAAATTATAAATATTTAGGTTAATTTAATATTTTATTTGATTATTGTAATTATTGTTTGTGAAATTGATAAAGATTTTTATGAACAAAATTGTTGTCACTAATAATATTTTTTTTTATTTTGTTGTAATAGTTAATAAGACAATTATACTTTCGTCACTTATCAATAATGTCACTTAAACAAAAAAATAAATAACATTTTATGGCATGTTAACCTTTATCGCATTGTTTAGATTTGTCAAATGCAAATAAATGGTCTTTTTGCTTATGCACTTGTAGAATAGTGGAGGCCTTAAACATATATTTTATTTATTTTATAGAGAATGCACAATTACATTAAAATATGTTTTTATGTTACTTGAATTTTAGATCAACAATCTATCGACAATTGGTTTTACTAATCTCTATTTTGCAGTAGCTCAAGACATGCGAGATGAGTTATTAGGCGACCAACTAACAACAAACGATATTGAAAGATAAAAGATTATATTAAAGTGACTTACAAAATATCTTGGTTGACTTCCTATAAATTTTGACATTAGGATAGCACAATATATGTGTGGATGTATACTTACTTTATTAGGATATGTTCTAATGTTGAGCAAAAACAAATATGTGGTACATGCAAAAATCTTGTTGTTGGCACGTGAATAAAATTTAAAATTATATTTAGGATTTGATGTGTCTTTCCTTTATTTATAGAGGCTTAGATATTCACGACGTAATGCTAGAGAATTTTGTAGTTGCATAATATTACTGCAAATATAGGCACACACCGACTCTTGTCGTTGGCTCAAATCCCAAGCAAACCAATAGTTTTCTCGTTTGCTCTCAGATAGAGACATTTTCGTAATCTAACTTTAAGGTAGGTTTCAATTAAGCAAGTTGGACTATTTAATGCCAATTAAGCCATTTCAACGCCACATATGATGTTTCTGTTAGCTAATGGAAAGGAGCAATGTGAAAAAAAAAATTTAAGGACAAAAGAATAAAAAAAAGTTAGAAGACTAAATCAAAACTTACCCTAAAGTTAGAGGACAAAAAAATTAATTTTGCCTATTGCTTATAACACTAATATTTGGTTATTAATTGTAGTTTCTATGACAACCATATGAGAATGATTATATTGGTGTCGTAATTCCAAATGACTGAGAAGAGAACGAACTATGATTCTATTAACTCTTTGATTTGTTTCAAAGTTAGAGCGTGACACGTAACTAGTTGTATAATGCATCAATTTCAATATGCTCAACCTATCCCTCTCTCACCCGTAAAATCTTGAGGGAGTTCATAGCAAAGACTTAGAAGGATTAAGATAACAAAAAAACTGAAGACTCATTCATGCTCACATCGATATTAGCGTATCTTAGAGGGATTGTCAATTGAATATATTATCCTTCTTACGAATATTAGACATCATACATATTGTATGCAATGAATTGGTTATTATTATCCCCACAAATGGAGTAGTCAGCACTTTAAGAACAATAGTTCTTTATAAAACCATCACTTTCCCATCACGAGGAATTCTCCATGGATACACCACCTATGTAGTAGTAGGAGATCTCACTATCTTCAATACAGTCAAATGAAGAGTATTATTAGTTATAGCAAACGAACTAGTAACAACCATTTCAATGGGATGAAGAACCTCACAGCAGGAACAAGCATAGACTTCTGTAGATAGTTAAAAAGATATTTATCATGGATCAAGAAACAAAGAATCACGGGATAGAAGATCTATTGATTATAGTAGTGCCAATGGGATATCTCATGGATTAACGTGTACATATAACTTTAGTTGTAATTGTCTTTTTCTAAAATAGCAAAAGCACTAAGTAAAATATTCTTATCATCATATTGTGCAACAACTACCAATAGCCCTTATATTTGCCATATTAACATGTCTTATCAACATGCACAAGTAGTTTTTAGTGTTTAAATACTCTAATACAGTAACCAAAACTCTAAAACACTTGACGTAATATTTAAATATTGGGAAACAACTCATCATTATAGTATGCTTTTGCAACATCCAACTAATCATTGAACAACGTCACAAATTGGTTCACACAATTGCAGCAAAGCTTTAAATGAGGCTTTCATTAACCAATTTTTTTTTAATTGCCCTTTGCTTTCTGATACATTATTGTGCATCTATATCGAGACCGAATCTCACGAATCACAAATTTTATTTTAAAGGAAGGATTAGACTTGACTAGTGGCTTGATGCGTATGCAATTGTGTCTAAATCTAACTCCCTATGATCTTGAGAAATCTTATCCCTTGTACAATTGTGCGATCCATTATACTTTCTAATCTCTCAAATATACTTATTCTTTCTTAAAGAAGTTCAAAAAAGGCATCCATAATTTATTATATACCTCACGTTTACAACAAACATATTTGGTTCTGACTCAAATATTTTGTAATTTACTCCTTTTGATATATCGTAACACTTAATTGTTCATATGATAGTTTCTATATCATTGAATTGTTTTCCAACATACAATTTTCTATCTACATCACAATGACTTATCAAATACAAACACAAACAAAAACTAATTTAAAAATTAAAATTTAATGCATCAACAACATAATTATAACACATATTCAAACTTGTGTACTCTAGAAATTCAATTGCATGCATTACATCGAGATCTAATGTACACATGAAGGATTACTCCACAAACAGATGTTGTTCAACTAATGTGTTTGGCAAATTAGGCTTTCCATCATCAACATCATCATCCACATCTTTATCTTCACTATCTTCTCTGCTTCTATATTCACTTTTAAAGTTATTGTCATCACTTTTAGTGTTATTTTGTTCTCATTCTACCTATTTATTTGCCACAGTGCTCACATGTGCTTCCTCCTCATCGTCTTCAATAAATGATTATTGAAACTTCATTAAAAAATAACATACAACTCAAAAGTAGGAGTTGAGGAATAATGTCATTGATATATTCAAAACATTTATTGAACATTATTGTCATTTATTATTAGAATTATATGATATTACATGAAATTAACAAATATCAATATTAGACATTTATACGTAATATTTTTCACTATTTTTAGAAATTCAACTTTAATATATTAACTAAGTTAACACATCAATTCTTTAGATGATACATTATCTACAGTATGTACACATATTAGCTTTTTACACTTAAATGTTATACTCTCACAAGTGTTTGTAATTAATTTTCACACTTAAATTCTTGCAAATGACAAGTTGTTCTAACTAATTTTTTGACAATTAACAAAATCATTGACAATTTTTAAATTAAACCATATTCTTGTAATTTTAACCCAAAAAAAACCCCACATTTTTATAAATTTAAAAAAACAATATAAAAAAATAGCCCACCAAAGAATCTACAAATAATTAATGTTCCACCCATATGCAAGGAATTTAAGATTTTGTCTGTTTGATCAATTTATGTAGTCCTCTCTTGCATTAAGGTATGTTTGATGTTACCTTATTCTCAACATCAAACTAGGACTCCTAATGTACCAACGTAACCAATCAAACTGTAAGTAAATCAAATATCAATTTGATTCCCTACAAATTCTAGACACTGACCAATGAAATTAAGCTAACTCAATAAACTTCTCGAGTGAATAAATAACAGTAATTTATTTTTCATGCACTCATATACATTGCAATACAAATACCTTTTAATTTGATAAATACTCCCCTAATGTGGGTTTAAAACAATCTGAGCAAAACTGTATGCAATAGCCACACATATTGGAACCTATTAGGTACATTTACATCCACAAAGGATGTCAGACACAGCAACCTAGCGGTGTTTGAGAACAGCAAATCCTAATGTAATCAATACAAAAGAAGGTAGGAGACGGTAAGATGATGTGGCTGATGATGGAGTCAGATCAGAGCGTCCACTTCCTTTGGTTGCAGATGGGGTATCAGAATCCACTGAGGGAGATGATGGAGTCAAAAGAGGAGGGGTTGTGTCAGACTCTGGTGCCAAAGAAGGTGTGACAGGCGAGGGAAGTACAGAGGATGCTGTTCGAGGAAAAGATGCTGGTATTAGTATCAAACTCGAGAAGCTAATAGTACTCAATTTACTGTCATAATGCATGCCATCAAAAATGCATTTTTGTTGACTACTAATGACTAAGTGATTACCTTCAGGACTAAGAGATGGTGAAGACGGGTTAGATACAGGAGAAAGAGATGGCCCAAGAGACGCTGGTCCTGTCAATATAAATCAAAATCATTCGAAAGATTAGTTAAAATGGAAAAGATTTATACTTAATATAGTAAATTTTAGGCATATTATTATTACCAGGAGCTGGAAGTGGTGAACCTGAGGCTGAGAAAAAACAAAGCATAAAATAATTCAGTTTCACCTTAGCCTCATTGATAATTAGAATAACTATAATTTAAAATTATTGATAACGAGAAAACTACTGAAGATCGAAGGAATGTACTTTTGCATTGAACTGGAAGACCAGGCATGTTGCAAGCACGAGGAAGAGAGATGGCCAAGGTTCGGTTGATTGGAATTCTAAAAGGAACATTGCCAGTGACAATGAGACACAAACAGTCCATACCCCCACTTGTGAGGGACTTCATGGAATTGCAGCACTGGGCAGAGGGTGAGGTGCCATTGCCACTGCTATTTGTGAGGAAATTCACACAAGGGCTGAACAAATTGTTTATCATCGATGCATTACATGGAGTGGTGACTTGGGCATAGGCCGGTGCAGCCATTGCCGTAGCCATGGCAAATACCACAACTAGGCACACAAAACGCTCCATGTGTATATGTTTTAGAGGTTTGGGTTGTTGATCTGCTAGGAATTTGAAAGTAAATTTGTTGTGTTCAAAAGTACAGTTTGGAAGTTTGATAGTAGAGAAAGAGATAAGGGAATTTATAAAGAGAGGGTATTAAGAAGAGAAATAGAGGGGAAAAATAAACGGAGGTGCCAAAGTTGGTTTAATAGCTCAACTGCCATAACTAATCAGTAGGAAAAGAAAGAGTTTGAAGTAGGTAGAATTGCTATATTGGGAGTGTTTTGATCTCTGTAGAACCAATTTTGACTGAAGATTTTAAGCTCAACAAGTGGCATCTGAAACATCCTACCTTAATCTGTTGTAACACAAAATTTGATGTTCTTGATAAACTGTCAAATCAAATCATTCATATTAGGTCAGCTGCTCAGGTGGATAACCGAATCCTAGTAGTAGTTCCCTCCACTTCCTGACCCTTTGCTTATTTTATTTTTAGTTCATACCAACATAATACCAAGTTAACAAATACAACTTCAACCATTAGACTTATTCAACTCATTTAAGCGGGCATAGGAATAAGGGCATCACCCTTCGTCCGCTTTGTTCAGTGTTGAAATAGTTGGATAAAATTAGTTTCAAAAAGGTTGAAGAGTAAAATTATATTAAGATGTGTTTTTCATTATATATATATATATATATATATAATTTTCTAATGATCAAACCAACAAGACTGTCTACTTCAACTTTGGGGCCAATCGCAAGCCAGAATTTATTAACCTTAACAATTAGTTTTTGATCGCGACTTTAGTCAAATTCCGAATTATTATGGAGAACATGTAATAAGTTCGATTTCTCTTTTCTTCTTTTTCGTGTAGCACCCGCACTCCCTTTCTCATCACCTGCCTCTATCTCCAACCCAAACCGCCCCACCCCCAAAACCAAAAAAAAGGGGTATTCTGACAGGGACCACGTAGATGAAAAGCTTACATGCGTATTTCTGTGGTACTAATTTTCCTTTAAATAATATTTTCGCTAATTAGTTAGAAGAAACATAATTCAAATTCGATTAGTTAAATTCTGGGGAGAAGTTGGCACATAATTGTAAATCAATAATATCTTATAATGCCAATTGTCCGCTATTTGAAGCTACGAGAGGACACTACAATATTACAAGTCAGGATAATGGCAAGGACATTTATCTTAATTGAATTGTATGTTCGGGAAAGTTTTTCTTAAACAAGAAACATTTTTCAAATAAAACTGCAAAAAATAATAATAATTTTCTCAAAATAAGCTGAATGGAACATGCAGGTAGTCTCGTCTACTCGTATCATATAGTATATGATACTGTCCATCTCGTAAGACACGTGGTTCTTTCTTTTTTGGTCGTGTATTTTAACCGTACTGCTTTGAACACAAAAAAGATAGGATAGAGTGATAGCCGATAATAGCGTTCCCTCAGCCTCTGATGCCAAAAGTTGGTCATCTGTTTAACCGACCTGCCTTTAGAATTTTTCATTTGTTTATATTATAGGATAAGGGTCCCATAATCCAGGTCTGCATACCTAACAACGTATGGCCGCCACCAAGTACCAAATAGATCCCGTTGGAAAGAGTAGGAGGAGTTGTTCACCCACATCATCACCTTACTCTTGTCATTTTCTTCCCCCTTTTCTCTACAAAAGGCCTATGCCTCGTTCTTCCAAAACCAGTGTCTTCGGAGTACAAACACGGGATACCAGGTTACCAACATATATTCTACCTTTAACAAACCCTACTCCCGGAAGGAAAAAAAAAATTCCAACATATTTGCATAAGAGTGTTCAATGGAAATGGGTTTGGTTTTGATCGTAATGGCCATGCTGAGTGCAGGAGCTGCAGCACAATCAAGTTGCACAAATGTGTTAGTCAGCATGTCACCGTGCCTTAATTATATCACAGGGAATTCTTCAACCCCATCTTCAGGATGCTGCTCACAGCTTGCCAGTGTAGTACGCTCACAACCACAATGCCTGTGTCAGGTTCTTAGCGGCGGTGGATCATCCCTGGGGATGAACATCAACCAGACTCAGGCTCTGGCCTTGCCTGGCGCTTGCAAGGTGCAGACCCCACCCATCAGTCAGTGTAACAACGGTATGACAATAAAATCTCTAAGATAAGCGCACCGAATTCTAATCCATACCTTTCTGCAAATTTAACATGATGTGTCTGTCAGCAGCTGTTTCACCAGCAAAACCACCCGCAGGAACAGCAGCAGAATCTCCAAATTCAGTTCCATCAGGTACTGAATGCTAATTCTCCACATTGAGGAAGTATTTTAGTTTATGCTTTGCGGTTTGATTATCCAATTTGTCCCTTGCCCATGTTAACCATTCAAGTTGACATTCACTTGCAGGAACCGGATCCAAAACCCTACCCACAACAGATAATGGCTCATCCAGTGGGAATTCCGTCAAGTTATCCGTTCCTCTGTTACTTATTTTGGCAGCAACATACGCTTCAACTTTCAGAACATACTGATTCCATAATCAGTTGGCTTTCCTATTGGATATTTTTTCCTTGTTTGCCGATTGTCATTGTTTCATATACTGTTGAGTTCCCTTAGGCTGAAGGGTTCAATCTATTCATTTGTTACCCATAGTGGTTACATGTTTTGTATTATGAGATATTTATTCTCTCACTCCTTTATTAATGAAGATGGATTGTGACTTGTGGTTTGCTATAATCAACATCATTGGATTCCAAGTCCTCAAAGCAACCAAATCACTTGAATGTAGCACTTTGCTGCACTATGAAAGGCAATCAATCAACTATGTTTGATCAATGAAACTGAATTTTTATTTGCCATACCAGAAAATCTGCCTAATTGTGACAACTGCCGCCATGGCCTAATCCCACTAATATATTTAATGTTGTGCTTTTAAGAATATAAACATGGTGAAGAAATCAAGAAATAGAAAGTTTTTAATATAGATCACATTGGAGATGCATAGAAAATCATGTTATAAAAGTATGAATAACACTTACTAATACACTGGTTAGCATTTCCCTATAAGCATCGTTGAAACAATGAAAGATTTGCTAAAAGGCCAAGAAACCACTAGTCTAAGGGAATTAAATGTGTTGCCTTCATTTGAATCCAAAAATTTCTTCATTTAAGTATTTGTATGAGATACCAAAACAAATATCTTCAGGTAGCAGTAGCTACAGTCTATGGTAACTAACATCTAATGGTAATCTCCACCTTGAATGTATCATGAATAATGTCACTAAGCTTTGATGGACTCGAGCTTTCATTTAGAGGGCTTTGGAACTTCTTCGTTTATTTTCTACTGTTTTCTTAGACATGCAAATGAAAATATTGTCTTTATTTTCCTTAGCCATAGAAGAGCTAAGAGAAAGAAAATAAAAGCTCATTTACACAATAATCCTCATAAAAAGAAGGCCCGTGGATTCAAGTTCAAAGTTCTGTAATACACAGGCTTTAACTATGTCTATGGGAACCTGAAGCAGTGGCAGGCTAGCATAACATCCATATAGATACAAAGCTGAACAGAAGAATAAAGAAATAGAGCGCCAAAAACTGCATAATTGAGGAAACACAAAAGGTAGGTACAGCCACATTTGAATAGCTCTCTCAAACTACATGAGACAGAGATAACTTCTCTCCAACTTGAAAGTAAGACAAGAATAACAAAAAAAAAAGCTCGAACTACTCAACTCGATCTTTACATATAGCAATTCCTGATGAACGATAAAAGTTCAAGGAAAGCTAAATGTTCCAAATGCAGAACAAAAATTGATCTTATATATGGACAAAAATTAAATTTTGAGTTATTTAGCTTTAAAAGTTTGGTACCATGGTAAACATTTCCATCCATTATGTGGAGCAATAGCCTATTATTGTTGTTAGCACTAACAATTAACAAAGTGTATCAATTAAAGGACGAGACTAATTTTACATCATATATTAATGGAAATATTTATCATATCATCTGACAAAACATCAAGACAGGAAAAAATGTAATAACAGTGAACTCTATCTGATGCAAATCAAGAATGTGACCGTGAGCGTACAAATTCTTCTAGTCTGTCCCACACCTCTAACGCTGCAGCCCTGTCTTGATGTCGCTTGTTCTTACTAATCTGCCATCAAGTTAGAAACAGGTACTTAGACTTCAAATTAAGGGCTGAAAACATAGGAAGATAGCCAAGCGATAAGCTGAACAAATTATCAGTTCAAAATACTTAAAGGTAAAAAAAGGGTATACAACAAGGACTCACAGAAATAATCTTTACATTCCACTGCTTCACATTCTTCGCCGACTCCAAACTATCATCTTCGAAACGCATGTAAAATCCAATAACTGCAAGGATTTCATAGGGTTACTACAATCAACTAAGTAAGTTATAGTTTAGAAGAATTCATATAATTGAACCCAGCAAAACGCAGATTGAATAATACAATCATAGCCATAAAAAGAGTGCTAAAAATGCAGCTTTTTTTGAGGAAATAAAAGAAACACTGAATGTTTCCCTTAAAGCCGGAGAAATCGAATGAAACAACAACAAAAGCCTTATCCTACCTCGCGAAGTCGACAACATGGATATTTCAATGAAACACAATAAAAAAAATGGACTCACTTTTGTTGAAAATTTCAACGTGGTCTTTGAAAGGCCAATCCTTAAACTGCCACTCCTTGCCCAATACGAAGACAGCAACGACACGATCCCAGTCCTCAGGTTTGAGGGAAGAAGGCTTATCCCTGACTTCATAAGCGGTAACAACCCTATCTCTGCTGAGCTTCTTCTGAACAGTGACGCAATCGGGCCTGGCACCTTTCATCTGCTTGACCTTGACATCAGTGGGAATGTAAACACCGTCCTCCAAGAATTCCTTAACATTATAGATAGTGATGAGGGTCTGAAAGGCACTGGGAACTAAGATAATGGGGACACCTTCCCCAATTTTGGAACCCTTGAAGTGCATCTTGGGCTTGGGAGCGGGGTCATAGCCCAAGTCGTCATCGGCACCCATCAAGCGACTTTTGGCAACGAGGCCATCCTTCCTCTGCTGGGAGTCGAGCCTCTGGCGCTCCTCTTCGCGCTTGGTGGCAGCAACGAGGACGCTGTAGAAGTCACGACTCTTGCACTCGAGGAGGGACTGGCGATCTTTCAAGGGCCTCTCAGCGGCCTTGATCATGGAGATGAAGTCGAAGTCATCCAATTTGTGAAGGTGGTCATCGGAAAGGGGATGATTGGGGGCGAAGGAAGGGTCTTCGGGGCGGTACTCGATGGAATCGGTGGAGGAGAGGATGCCCTGAAGGTATTGGAGGAGGGGTTTGCGGTCGGGGAGGGTAACGGAGGGGATGCCGAGGGCGATGGTGTTCTGGAAATACTCAGTGTGCTTGAGGTGGTGGTTCTTAATGTAGTGGACTAGGGTTTCCAGTGTGTACCGATTCCCCTTCGTTGAACGGTATGCCGTTTCCACCGAGCATGGGAATGTGTACTCCTCCCCGAATCTCAACTCGCCGTTCACTCGCACTATCTTCTCCACCTCCCCTCTCATCGTGAACTCTCTTAGCGCCGACAGCGGATCCATCCTGTTCCGATCGATCGATAGTACACCCCCTGCACTAAGGAAAAGTTGCACCTTCTATACATGTATCCAAATTTGTTATCCCAATTTAACTTTTATTCTCAATCCATTTTCTTTATTGCTTCTTTTTATTATCTACCAACCAAGCAATGTTAAAATTTAATCAATTTCGAATTCAAGTATGAACTAGCACAAAAATGGGTTTTTACTTAAATAAAAGAATTTAAAAGCTATATTAAGAATACACCTTTATTTGGATATGTTTACCTTTCTATGTTAATTTTATTATTATAAAAATAACTTTCTTTATTTTTTTTATAAAGTTTAAATAGAAGTTAATTTAAATTTTTTTATTATTTAAAAATTGTGTTTGCATAGAATTCCATTAAACGTTCTTATTTACACTTGCATAGAAAAATTGATTATAATTGATTTTTGTTTAAATTTTTAATACTTTTTACATAAAAATTAATTTTGACATACTTTCGTATAATAGACTCCCACAACATAAGTTAATTTTACTATATTTATGTTAAACAAAGTTAATTAAAGTATATCTCAGTATAAACTAACTTGCTCATTTTCTATAAATAGACATACATAGCTCCTAACTTTGCACGATTATTTTCACACAAAACTTTAAAGCTAAGGGTAAAAATCTTAGAGTGGAGAGAGAGAATTATGTTCAGCATGGTTGGTTGTTTATGCACTAATTACTTTGTTATAAATTGAAAGCCAAATATTAAAAGAGTATAAGTGAAATAACATACAAGTTTCAAAATTATTCTATAGAATGTCAGTTAATAGTAGACTAAATGGTATCTGTCACACCCCAAAATTTCCTTATTTCTAAGTTAATTACTAATTATATCAATATAAATAAATTAGAATTAGATCATATATATATAGTTAGGAATTAAAACATACTTAGTCAAATTTACTCGAAAAACTGACAAATTAAGGAAAAATTGGGTACGAATTATAGTGGAATCCAATTTTTATAAGAATAATTACCAAAAAAAAAAATTGTTTTTATAAATTTATACCATCTTAATTATGTATTACAAAATTTATAATCAATTGTGGAGAATAAAAAAATAGAAAATTAAAAATAAGTTACAACATTGGCCAAAAAGACCAAAATACCCCTAGATTAGGCCTAGAATGAAAATCCAAGTTGGGTAAGGAAATGATAATGAAAAATTCTGAAATTTTTATGGTAAATTATTGGGCCAAATGAGGTTGTATTCGTTCAAGAACCAGACCCAAACCTTAAATAGAAAATTCAAACTAATTTTTGCAAATTCAGCACTCAAAGTAGTGTAAAAAGGGCTAGGCAAATGGATCAAAACTTCCAATTTTGTAATCCTATCTTACCCAACCCAATTGGCATGGTTTTGGCACGAAAAATAGACTAAATTTGTCAATAATTGGGAAAAGTATCAGCTAAAGTGAAGGAAACCAATAAGAAATAAGACTTGATTTACTAAAATTCTTTGATGATGACATAGGGTCAATGGTTCAATTCTTAACAAAGGAGCCTAACCAAATGCCAATCAAACCCAACTAAACTCAGCCAAAAAATAGTGTTATGTGAGGGGGAAAATCTGAAGTTATAAACCAGGAACTAAAGGCAAACTACAAGGAAAACTTAGGTCAACTAGATGACATCACAAGGGTCCAAAATATTCACTTTAAGCATGATTATTAGGGACCACTTTTCACCTTGATAAAATCTGAATTTGGGAAAGTCTCCAACAGCAAAGTTACTCCACTTTAACCTATCTAAATGGTCATGAACCCTCTATCCCATAAAAACCAAGAAAAAATATAAAAAGCATTCCCCAAATACAAGGCCTAAATTCACGTGTAAATGAAGGAAATTGGAAGATCTAGCCAAAATTCCTAAATCCAGCCAAACCAAACTCTTCTATTCACCTGATCACATCCAACACATGCTAACCACCACTCAGCCATGTCACTCTTCAAGCCAACAAAATAGGAAAAACTCTAAAAACACTAAATAACCCCACCACCAAATTTAGCAAAAGAACTTTAACATTTGAGGACCTTTTTGGACAAACTCAAAGCTGACTTGGAAGAGCAGTAAAGAGGCTCAAATTAGACCAATAAAAAGAAGAGAAAGAGGAGATCAAAACACCCTTGCAACCTCACCCAAAAAGGCAAAGATAAAATCAAGAGAGGGGAGTATAGTTCATAAATTGGGAGAATACTTTTGCTAATTAATTTTGAGTCAAGGGGAACCCTTAACCCCTTATATTGAATGAAAATTCCGTGGGTCTAATTGATATATGAAAATAAAATTTACTTGCACAAGAAAATCCAAGAAAAACGTTAAAAACAACAAAAACAGAAAATTCTGCAGAAAAATCTTAACTAACTGTAAGGGGGTATTTTGACAGAAATTTATTGATGACTTTGCTTGTTATGTGTTATTGTTATGATATTGGGCTGATTTTATGTGAATCCATGCCTTGAAATTGATTGAGGGTTTTGTTAAAGTTTTCCGTTTATAATCAGGAGTTTTCTGTCAGAAATTGTTTACTATTTCTGTAAATATTCTTTTGATGCATGATCTGAGTTTTAAGTTTTTGTTTAAGTTTTATATGGCATAAATACTATAAACTTAGTAAAAATTTCATGATTAGGCTTTGGTAGAACATAAAAATGAATTTTTGTAAATTTTTAAGAAGATTTATGGTTCTGAAATAGTTATAACTGCTTTTGTGTTAGTTTTTATTTTTTTCAAATTTTTAAAAATCACGAAAATTTTCCTAAGATATTAGCTTGTATTATCATAGAATTCTTGATATTTTGGATTTATCTTGACTTGAAATAATATTTTAAATGTTTTTTAAAAATTTTAAATGAAAGGGAAAAAGGAAAATGATTTAAAAATAGAAAAATTACTAAGAAATAAGCTTTGGACTCTTGGACAGATTTTGGAACCTATGAAGTATAAGAGTCATACGAATATTGACCAAGATATGAAATTAAATTTGAAGGATTGGACCTTTAGATGAGAAAATACTATGATTGGACCAAAGGAATATTTTTGACCATATTGAGACCTGGACAATGACTTAGAGGAAAGGGAAAAACGTGTTGGACAACTTGACTTCTTAAAGTTTTGGAAAAAGGACATAATTGCAATTAACATAAAGTAAAAGGACTAAACTGCAAATAATGTAACATATGAGAAAACCTTTGCAAAAATTTTTGTTACTATTTTATTCATGTAGATAATTAAATTTTGAAACTTTTCCTACTAGTTTTATTTTATTTGGATTTAAATTGTATTAGTTATGATTTTTCTAAAATTCTGATACATGAAAATAGTATTCTGGGGGCAGTATGACTTAATTCAATTTTGTTTTAATATCTCTGTGTGGCGTTATTTTATCTTTATTTTTGTATAAAAATAAACTTATTAATGAAACTATTCTCACTAGTTTCACTTTATTTGGAATTGAAACAAAATAGATATGAATTTTTGAATATTATGATGTGTGAAAATGATTCCTGAGAACAGCTCACTTTAAGTTCCTTTATTCTTAAAATTCATGCATGATGTGATTTTATTTATATTTTTGTATAAAACTATACTTCATAAGGAAACCATACTCACTGAGTTTACTTAAATTAGAGTTAAAACAAAATACTTATGATTTTCTAAAGTTTCTGTTATATGAAACTAATGGTTTATGCATATTGCTGAGAAACTTGATTTCATTTTTAAGGATATATATGGCGTTATTTTATTCATATTTTTTTCATGAAAATAGATACTACAGGGAAAATATCCTCACTATTTTGATTAAATTTGGATTTAAAATAAAATATTTATAATTTTTATATTTAACTGATACTAAGAAGTGAGTTAATGTGAGCAACAGAGAACAATTAGCAGAATTATGCTAACCTGTGACATGTACTGATAAAATTAAAGCATGAATTAATGTATGTAAGTAGTTTGAATGTGAAAGTATTTTTACTTCGAAATAGACATAATACTGAGAATAACCTCATCGGTCTCATGTGTTTTGGAAGAAAATTGAATTTATTACAAATTTTACAATTTACTGGATTCTAAAAGTGGAATCATGTGATCAATAGAAAGAAACTAAGTTAAATGTTACTTTCTGTATAAAAATTATTTACGTGCATATTCCTTTTGAAAAGTAGACACTTAAAGAAAGAAAACCTAAGTGATTTCATGATTTTTGGATTTGTATTGAATTAGTTATGAATTTTACAAATTGATGCATGAAATCTGGAAAAAAAAAATTGAAAATAGTCATGTCCATAAAATGAATGATTCTCTTATTTTAAGGGATGAATGATTATGAAAGTGTATATCCAATAGGCAGATTAATGGCTAAAATTCATTTTGTGATTATGAAACAGTTCATAGGGATAGTGGTTGAAAACGCCAGGTATAGGCGAGGGGCAAAGAAATAATACGACTAAAGTACTATGAGATGCTTATTCATAAGTTATGTGGTGGTTATTTTTATTCAGCAATTAGTGTTGCCTTATGAAATAATTTATGAATAATTTATTCATATTTTCTTTATTTGTGTCTATTAACTAAGTTATGAATGCAGAATGAGTGTTGGGAGTATTCCTATTCCTGAGCAGAACATGACTTTTAGTATAGGGTCAGAAACGTGGAGCTATAATAATACTAATCAAACTATTATTTTTACGGGTTGTGTGATACTAACTATTACTACCATTAACAACCCCATATTGGTCCCATAATTATGCAGAGTCCTGTTAGAGTTGAGATTGCCTACCCCATGTATTGTGCAACAACTTACCTAGGCCTTCATGCTGATCCTCCTCCAAATGGATTAGATGACTAGAAGAGAGATCTGCTCGTAAAGAAAAAAAAAATAGTCGACAATGAGGTATATGTAAATTATGAGTGCTTAGGATCTTTTTGCCTAACCTTCATTTTCCTTTAGTTTGTAAAATACTTGAATAACTTAGGAAAGGTAGGAGGTCTGTATTAAATTATCTATTGTTGAACAACAACTCTATAT